AACATTTAATGATTACAAAAGGATTAATTGCTATATAGTCTTTGTCTTAGTCTTTGTTTTTCTAACGGCGGAAGTGTACCAACATCACCTTGATTACAGAAGAGATCATCTAACAGTCTTTTAATTCCCGGGTTTTAATTACATTTCATGAGTTTTTTGCCTCTATTCTCATTTTTAAACCTGTCTCTGTTTGCGTATTTAACAATTGTGATAAATTATTCAGTTATTGTTCTACATTATAGCCCCCTCCTCTTGCACTGACTAAATATTAAAATAAGCCAGTCTGATTGCGAATTTACAAATCCTGTAAACAGTTAAAAGTAGCTTCAACCCGGGAGCTTCAAACCGCCTTTTAATCAGAGAAAACAATAAGTTAATTCATCTGATTGCGAAAATACGAATCAATCTGATTATCTGATCTCAATGCTATTTGATTCGTGCATTATCTACAAGTCAGTCGGCAAGGGTGAAATTATTTCATTTGAAAACAGAAATATGTGGACTTGAGAAAGTCCGACATACTCATTGCTTCCAACCCAAAACTTAAAATAGGAAGTTATCAAGATCCCAAGAACACGATCGCTACATAAACAATACGTTCTCGTAAAATCCCGGCGATCGAAATGCAATCAAACTCTCGCAATCAGGTGCCTAATTAGTCCATTTGATCTCTGAAGTTTTTCGACTGAACTTTTCAATGAACTCATGAGAAGCAAACGAAATCATCACAACATCATATAAACATTTTTCTGGTAAATCTAAAATAGAGTAAAATCCAGGGGAAAGATCGTGTGGTTATTTGATTATTTCAAATGAATTTGGCATATTTCAATTTTGAAATAACAAAAGTCAGTCTCGGAAAAATTTCCCAAGCATTCCCTGCTTCGATGCGTTTTTATTGCAAGGGCCGTTTGCGCCGATATGAATTCATAAGGGCATTAGAGATGTGCTTTATTTGTTTTATTTATATAAATGTTATGAAATGTGTACGACACTTTAATGAATTATTTTTTGGGTTACAATGCATATTTGACTTTTCCCTCTAAAAGAATAAAGTTTTATTTTAAGCGTTTTAACAATCTTTTACGTTTGGCGTGCAGCTTAACTTAATACTGTTGGACATTTTATTTTAGGGTTTTTAGTTCATGTTAGGACTGATTGATTTATTAGTTTCTTCATTTTTGGCTTCTTGCCAGAGATACATTATTCCTTGACTTCTTCACACTATGTCATGTTGTTGACAGTTGAGAATATTTTTAATTGCTTATTCCTTCTATGACATGTAGCTGACCTTTGAGAAGAAATCCATCAGTAAGATTTGTTTATAAATGATGGAGAATATTCCTTGTGAATATTCTTTATTCCTTAGAGAATATTCTTTGAGAATATTCCTATTTCTTTATTCCTTATTTGTGAGATGTTTATAAATGATGGAGAATATTCCTTGTGAATATTCTTTATTCCTAAGAGAATATTCTTTGAGAATATTCCTATTTCTTTATTGTGAGATGTTTATAAATGATTAATTGCATTGTATTTTATAGTTTTCTTCCTTCTGTCTTACTATAAAAGGCAGTTGTAAAGAATTTGTAGCACTTTTTCGGCTAGGTTTTTATCAGTAAACACATATTATACTTTAATGTTTTTCGATCCAAGACTTCAAAATTATTAAATAAATTTAGTATTAAGGAATCGACTTGTTGTTTCTTTCCTTACAAAATTAGGTAATTTTAACAATCCATTGGACTGACCCAAGGGGTCCAACAATACACAATCAAAGGACAGAATACAGAAATAAGAACATGCCTTTTATTTGTTATTCAAGCTCGAGCAATATCCCCGTTATAAAACCAAAATACGCACCTTGGTCATCGCAGAAATGGTCTTACAACAAACATATATGTGCCGCTTGTGTCTGTAACTTTATAAATAAAAAAGTACTGAATATAAAATACGATTCTGAATAAAAACATTAAGGACGTGGTTTGCGTTATTCATTTATTTATTTATAAGAACGCGCTCGTCTTTTGAACTTTATAAATGAGAATGGAAATACACCAAGCCAAGTGACCATTAGCTTAATTAGTAATAGTAATTGTTGTACATGTATTGTTTTCCTGGGTTCTCTAATAATAAAAAATATACGTTCCCAAATAAAAAAAATGAAGAAGAATCTTGATAACAATCCAATAAACAATATCAAGTTTAAAATCCGACAATAAGCTGCTTACGCGCCGGCCGTTAAAGTTTCTGAATTTAATAACAAAGTACATGTGACTGTAATTATATCCATTGATGTTGTAAACTTTACTACATGTAGGTTTAAACAGAGACATTTAAAACTGGTTTGCACTCGACAGAGTTATGTTTATGTCTTTTGAACGGTGGCTCTATCTCGATGCATCTGTTAATAAATGATACTATAAGCTTTATTGGATCGTGAATTCACCTTTTCAAATTCAAATCCCCAAAAAATAAAGCACACAATTTAAGCATGACAAAAAAGAGCAAAACTAAAAACCTGTTAACCTGTTAACCTATAGTGCCTGACATTACGTTATTGAGTTCAAGACAGAACTTTTTGGAATTGTTTCACATAATGTAATATTTCTCGGATTTGATGCATACCCGGGGATGCATACACATGTTTCACAATCAGAGACAAGGGTCTTATGACGGGGTCTTATATTTGGCAAACCAATCAACAAGTAGTATTATATTATCACAAAAGATAAATTACTTATCCCTTTTAAAAATATATGAAGTAGAATTACTTCATGTTAAAATACTAAATGTATTGCTTATGGTAATTTGGTCAGTTGTTTACACATAATTATCAATGTGCCAAGAGCGAGTAATGAGATTACTTTTGACATGATCTTTGCACTGCGTTACACGGCGTGTGTCAAGAAGTGCATAGAGGTGTAAAGAGTTGGATTCATCGCGTGTCAAGAGGTGTAAATAATTGACACGCCTAGGAACTCGGCGTGAAAAGACTAGTTTCTAGACGTGTCAAGATTTGGAATCCCAGATTTCACGCAGTGTAGGATCATAGTAGTGTAACGCGTATAAAAGGGGCCGCATGGAGACTGGAGACTGGAACCTACGCCTACGTTAAAGAGGCCACATGGAGACTGGAGACCGGAACCTACACCTACGTACGCCTACGCCTATGCCTACCCCACAGGTTTAAAGAGGCCACATGGAGACTGGAGACCGGAACCTACACCTACGTACGCCTACGCCTACCCCACAGGTTTAAATAAATATCAAAAGGAATTACATTCCTACCTACACCCACGTACCCCTCACAGATTATCAGATATCAAAAGGAAACCTCCTACTTGATGGGATACACGCTTCTTCTATAAGAACTTAATTATTACTGAGCATTTATTATCATTACTTGTCATTTTGGAAAAAGAAATCAACTCAATTTTTCAATCTGGAAATTTACCATGGAATCAGAGATGTTATTTTATTTGAGTACTAAGGATTCCACTATTATTTATCTTTGATTCAGCAAAAGGGACGGATTCTATTGGAAAGAACTATTACATCACCTTCTCGATTTAATCATACCAAAAGAACAAAAATGTTACATTATATTATATTGTATTTTATTTATTTAAATATATCATATTTACAAGTTCAGTAAAACCTGTCTAGTGGAACACCTTTTATCTCCGAAAAGTCTTCCACTTCTAGAGGTGTTCCAGATAATGTCATTGTAATCTTTGTAGTTTCCAAAGGGGAGCTGGTATATATGACTCCCCTTCGAAAACTAGTTTTCTTTTGTTGGTTCCCGATAGGTGTGAACGTACGTGTGTATTCGAGTCTTGGAATATTAAATCGAATCTAAAGTAATATAGTTCTATAACATTGAGTCCCTCTCTTGTGTATAGCTCCGTTGTTTCCTCCTCCTCTATCTGTTCCTCTTTCGCGTACTTTAGTTCTTTATCATACATTCTGGAAATATAAAGTTTATATATGTACGTAAATGTTTTGATGACATTATTTCACTTCACATATTTCACTTGTCATTCTTATTATCCTTAAGTATGTTGACAGATTGAACAATATCAGTTATTTTCTTTTCTATTTTATCAAGTCTAGAAATCAGTTCGTCTTTAAATTCATCGGTGAATGAATTTTCCTGCTTCTTTTCTGCATAAATTTCACCACTTCCAATAGGCGTTTTCGTCTTAAGTCTGAATAAACAACCATCTACTTCATTGTTACTCAAGATATGACTATCATTTTGAGTGTTAGTACTTTCAACACCCAAAATCGTATTCCAACTAAATTGATTTTCCATGCTTGTTTATCAGCTACGTTTAAATGAATGAAAAAACTTGATAGGAATTGTGCCTTTTATGAAATTATATTATTCATATTTAACCAATCAAAATGTTTTATTATTATTTGTAGGTCACGTGATCGGATTTCCTTCACCCTCACTTCCACACCCACACAAATCAGTGTTACATTATTTGAATCATCCAATCATATGTTCGGATCAATGCTTTTATAAGTCACGTGACATTTGGTAGATGCTATGTATATATAAAGGGGTATTTCTTCTTTTCAGTATGGAGAGATCAAACAGAATGTTGATTGTACAATATAAAACATGGATAAGTTTTTGCCAGAGCAAATTGTGGTACGTATTTTCAAATGTATTTTAAGTTGTGTAAATAAAAGTTTATTTTACTTGATGTTTAGAAATGGTTCAAATTGAATAAATCAAATGTTTGAATAAAATGTTTTCCGATCTTATTAATGCAAATAATATTGTTTTTTCAGACATCTAGTACTGATGAAATAGCGTGGGATAATGAAGACCATTTGCAATCACTGTGTGACGAAGGAACATCCCTGTATCACTGAACTATGATTTCTAAAGTTCATTCAACATGGGATGATATTGTACATTATGAAACCATCGATTCCTTGTTAGCTATTGGACGATATCATCAAACAATACATTGGAAAGAGGAACATTGCATGTGTGCCTTATATTGGTTGAATGAGATAAGCAAAAGATGTTTAAACAATAACATATATGATTCTGAAAACATACCATACCCATTCACAGAGTTAGCAGATATGGATAATTGTAGACAGATACTATTATCCAAATATATACTCGATGTAAAACAACGTATACTTGATAAACCAGATTCCAAATTAAATGAAATGATGACTTTATATATCGAAGCGGTATTTCGAGAATTGAAAAGCGCAGAATTGCGTCAAACGTTTTCATGCTTTTGGGTTTAATATTCAAGAAGTATGGGTCATTTTAAATGTAGATTCTGTACAAAACTGTATACAAAGAAAAAGAACAGAGATCGTCATGAACATGTTGAACATAGAAAAAGAAGGGTAGTATGTTCCAAATGTTGCAAAGAATTTACTCGAAACTATAATTTAAAGTGTCATCTAGAGAAATGTAATATTAGTACTAGTCTACAGACAAGTTCTTCTACTTCAGAATGTAATGATGTTTCAGCAGAACAATTCATTACGCTGGATCCATCACCTTGCGATGATAATGACTGTCTGACAGTTAATGATTTTGAGAAATGTGAGGAAATAGCGGCCGATTTATTAATTAATCCTCCAGATGAACAAACGTTACAGAATGATGTTGATATGATATTGGATCAAGCTGGTTATGGGGACAATGATGCTGATAATTTTAACCAACAACCATACATAAATCCTGACGGATCTGTGGATGTACAGTTAAGAGACATTTATGAAGCTAATGAACATATTATATATGCACCTCATAGAAGAGGTGTTGTATCACACGAGTATAATTTCCATATTCCCTCTGGTAGAATAGAAATGCGAGATATGGAAAATCAATTAGAAGAGATATACTTAAATGAATCGAACGTATTTAAGATCCAATTGAGTTTAGGTATTGTAATAAGTAATCGAGAGACCGGTCAATTACGATATTTTTATCCACATAATAATGAAACTGTATTAGATAGCCCCAGTATTATTTCAACTAGAGATGATATAACTTCTTTATTAACGCGTTTGAGCGGTATAGACTTTCTTGAACATATTCTTCGTCAAAGGCCAGACACAAAATGGTTACCTTATCGAATAACCAACATACGTTGGGTGATCTATCCTTTCGACTTTCCCTTGGGTGCACTCGTTGAATTACCAAAATATATCAAAAGTAACCCCTTTATTGTGGGTTTAACAACTAACAAAAACACCGGAAAAAGCTATGATGATAATAATTGTATATTCAGATGTTTGGCGTATCATAGAACTAAGAACTTGAGAAGGATTGAATCTTACAAATATCCATTGATTCAACAATGGTTTACAATTACTGGCGAACAAAATAAAGGTGTATCTTTAGCAAAACAATTACCATTATTTGAAGATACATTTACAACAAATGTCAACATATTTTCTATCGGCGAAAATGGACAGGCAGAGATTATATACAAAAGCGCGTCCAAACATAAAACCACGATGAACTTAAATTTATTCAACCAACATTTGAGTTATATCAAAGATCTCGCTGGTTATTCCAAGAAATACAAATGCAGAAATTGTGAAAAGCTTTTTCCAAACTGCTCCAGGTTAAAGCGACATGAACGTGCTTGTGATTCAGCAGCTACATATAAATATCCAGGAGGATTCTATAATCTACAAGAGACTCTCTTTGAAGACTTAGAATCACACGGGTATAATGTGGAAGAGAAATACAGGAGTTATGATTTCTTTGCATGTTACGACTTTGAAGCGATTTTAGTTAAATGTGAAGACAACGATTGTACAACCAAATTACGATGGCTTTCTGAACATCGACCTATATCAGTCGCTATTTCGAGCAACGTACCTGGATTTACAGAACCTAAATGTTTTGTATACCAAGACTTAGATATACTACTGGAACAAATGTTTGATTATTTGTACGAAATTCAAGAAAAAGCTTCCTCCATCATGACTAAACGATTTGATCAAATTTTACAACAAATAGAAGAATCTTTGGCTCATTGTGAAGAACGTAGACAGCATATGTCTGACAAAAACCTGCCAAAGGATATTGTGATTGAAGATAAAATTAAAGATTTTTCAAGAATTCAAAAAAGATTAAATGATTACATACAGCAATTACCAGTGTTGGGATATAACTCAAGTAGGTATGACCTTAACTTAGTAAAGAAATCTTTTGCAAAACATCTTTTTCAAGATTCTGAAAGCGGTCAGTTCGTAGTTAAAAAAGGAAACGCGTATAGCTGTTTAGCTTCAAAAGAATTTAAATTTCTCGATGTCATGAATTATGTAAGTGCTGGTACATCTTACGACGCGTTTTTACGAGCTTTCAAAGCAAACACTAGGAAGTCATTTTTTCCCTATGAATGGTTTGATACACCTGAAAAGCTAGAATATGAAGAATTACCAAGCTATGATTGTTTCTTTTCAAAACTGAAAAAGCAAAATGTTTTAGAAACAGAATACGAAAAGTTTCAGGAATTGTTAAATGATGGTTACAATGAAGATCAAATTCTCAAAAAAATGAATATTTCCGAAATTCCAAAAACAGGTACAGAAAACTATAATGAATTGCAGACAATTTGGCAACAAGAAAGAATGAAAAAATTCAAAGATTTTCTTGTGTACTATAATTGTCTAGACGTATATCCTTTTGTCGAAGCCGTTGAAAATATGATTACCTTGTATAAAAATATGGGCATTGATACATTTAAACAAACAATAAGCGCGCCTGGGATAGCCAGAAATCTTCTCATGAAAATGAAAAATACAGATAGTCATATCTGTTTGTTTTCTGAACGTTTCAAAGATATTCATACAATGTTTCGTGAAAATATTGTTGGAGGACCTTCAATCATTTTCAACCGATATCAAAAAGTCGGAACATCTGTTATTCGGGGATTAACAGAAAAAGTATCTACGATATTAGGCTATGATGCAAATGCGTTATACCTATGGTGTCTGGGGCAGACCATGCCGACAGGCCCAATGACCATAAGAACGGCTGATACGAATTTCAAGAAACAGAAACAAGACCGCTTTTTAAAAGAGATTTACTATTTAGAATTCATGAGAGAAAAATTAAACATAGATATTAAACACCGTTTCAATTCTGAAACTCAACATCGCATAGGTCCATATCGCGTGGATGGAATATATGGCAAACAAATATTCGAATTCCATGGGTGTTATTTCCATCATCACGACTGTTGGTTAACAAAACATATTAAGAGTGAAAAATGGCACGAATCGACAGAAGCAAAAAGACATCACGATGCAAAACGAAAACAATTTTTAGAAGAGTCTGGCTACACAGTCACTGAAATGTATGAATGTCAGTTTGAACTCATGAAAAGACATGATGGCGAATTAAAAAAATTTCTAGAAAAATATAATCGTCCCTGTGATCACTTGTCTACTATGGATGAAAGTAGTATATTGAAAGCAATCCAAGAAGACAAATTATTTGGTGCTATAGAAGTTGACATTTCTGTTAAACCGGAAGACTATGAAAAGTTCTCCGAAATGTCTCCAATTTTCTGTACCACGGAGGTTGATATGGAATCCATTGGGGATCATATGAATGAGTACTTAGAAGCAAACAAATTATCAAAAAAAGTCGAAAATTGTTAGTTGGTGGAATGCGGGCTGAAAAAATTCTATTATCAACACCAATGCTTAAATGGTATCTCCAGCATAATTTAGCCATAACTAAGATTTATACTGTTATAGAATTCACCCCAGTTCGTTGCTTTGAAAAATTTATGAATGAAGTCGCTGATGCGAGAAGACGCGGTGATAAAGATCCAGATATGAAACCAATAGCGGAAATTTTTAAGCTAATTGGTAACTCAGCATACGGGAGTGTAATTATCGATAAATTCAAACATTTAATGATAAAATATATGGATGATAAGCACAAAGCCAGAATGCGCGTGAATGATAAACGTTTCAGAAAACTTGAACAGATAGATGAGAATTTTTTTGAGCTAGAATTAGCAAAGAAAACAATCAAATTAGATGTACCAAACCAAATAGGATTTTTCATATTACAATGGGCAAAATTACGCATGCTATCATTTTATTACGATTTCATGGATAGATTTATTGATAGGTCGCATTTCCAAATGATAGAAATGGATACGGACTCTGCGTACTTCACCCTAAGTAAACCCACTATCGAACAAGCTATAAGACCTAATATGATGGATGAATATAAACGCGTCAAAGATGATTGGTTTCCTAGAAGTGACACAAGGGAGAATGAATTGTATGATCTCAGACAGCCAGGGCTGATGAAACAGGAATTTGAATCGACTGAATGTGTTGCCCTTTGTTCAAAAACGTATTGCATGCATAATGACGAAACGGATCAAACAAAAGTCAGTTGTAAAGGTGTCAATAAAAGTTCTTATAAAAATCCAACTGAAATGTACAAGGCTGTATTGAACACTAAAAGATCACAGATAGGAAACATCACAGGTTTTAGGAGTAAAAACAATACGATGTATACCTACACCCAAGATCGTATTGGTTTCTCATATTTTTACGCTAAACGTAAAGTTTTAGCAGATGGCATATCAACTGAACCACTTGATATTTTACTAAAACCATCACGATTATAGCTTACCTAGCATTGTTTTAGAAATTTGTAGATCGTTTATAAATTATTTGTAGCTCACTTTTGTAACGATTTAAACAGAAAACTTTTAATTTTTAATTTTTTGGTTGTTGTTAGACCATAATGAGAGTCACGAAATGTACTTGCTTTCTATTGTTCTTGGTAAATGTTATATCGATGGAATCATTCAATAGAATGAAATATATATATATATATATATAATATGGTATAGAAATAAATGAAATGTTTATATAAATTAACGTTTTGTTTGTTTGTTTGCTTGTTTGTTTTGTAGAAAATTGAGATTTCATTAAATTTAAACATTTTGAGATTATCAAATTCAATGACCACTGACATGAGTAATCATACCAATCATTTAAAGACATGACATGCTTGATACGAGCCTAAAATATTTTAAAAACTGACACAATTAACATTTCCTTTCAAAATATGTAAATTCTATACATACCTTCCAATCTATGGGATTGCCTTTCTAGCTAGCTTTCCGTCCTTCTATCCTTTTCTGATATATCACTGGAAAATACATATTTTCCAGTTAAATCGTGCTTCACTGTGTTTCACAAATTCAATAAAAGTTAATTGATCAATTACAATTCAATGGATACGCAAGGAGGTGCTGCCCTCTTATATTGTAAAAACGAGTTAAAAGTGTCAGATTACTTAAGTCAGCAATGAACGATGCTAGCTGAAAAGTAATACTTAACCGTTTGTTTGATTGTTTACCTTCAATTAAATTAAGCTTCATATAATTATAATGCGTTCTTATACCTCAGCTTAGTTGATCAAAAGAAACGCTAAGTAAACACGTTATATTTGAATTCAAATCATAGCATTTAGTCTAAATGCTAAGTAATATTTCAATTTCTTAAATAGATTCAATTTCATTCAAAGGAAATTATGTAAATCTGTCAGGGATAAGGTTAGAATTAAATGTATAATTAATCAACATGCTGTTTTGTTTTTTTGTTGAATTATTTCATGTATATTATATATATGTATTCTTTATTTTCAGTGAACGTAATATCGAACAAAAAGACATTACCAACTATTTTGAGGAAGCATTAGAGCAACTTCTCAGAGTTGACATTTTACATTTAGTAAGACGAGTGGCAATATTTCTAAATAGAACAAATTTAGATGAACTTGAGCAATGCCTCGATTTGCACATACTACAAGCGTGTTGCAGTAGTGAGGAGATGCTAGAGCCATTAATTATACCGGCTTCAGAGGAAGATTCACTTCTTCATGACATAATTCACCAATGCACCTAATATGTGCAAGACAATAAATCACGATACAGACGCTTCAGACTTTGTAAAAAAAAAGACTCTTAGAAACATACAGAAATGAACAGATGCTTTTACATTTCCTGTACTGTGAAATTTGAACCATCTTAAAGAAATAAAGCATTTCACAAAGCAATCCTGTTTTATTCTAACATGAAGTGTAAAACGTGTGACGTTAAATTTAGGTCAGAAAATAGTTTAAAAAATCATTTATTTCGAAAGCATAAAATTAAAAATCTATTTTCTTGCACTAAATGCAACAAAAGGTTCAATTTAAAAAATAGTTTATTTTGCCATATTGCGACAATTCATTCAAATCAAACATTTAAGTGTCAGTATTGTTCTAAAACATTTAACAAGAGAAGTAATGTATTCACACACTTAAAATCACAACATGGTATTTCTACAACTGCATCAAAATCCGCGGAACACAAAGCAAGTGAGTATTTAGTTTTATGTTTCTCTTCAAATATAGAATTGCACATGTAATTGTTTAGAAATAAGTATGGGATTAGCAAACTATTTTATGTAAAACTAAAGCATGAACATATTTGGTGAAACCATACATAACTTGTTAAGATAGCGTTTGAGATGAGTTAACAGGGATCGGTGAAAAATAAAACCCAATCACTTTGTTTATTTTATTTCAGACTCAGCCATTGTTGAAGCTAATTCAGTTGAAACATTAGCAGCAGGTATCTGTTGATTTTATTTGTTCATGTACATCACTAAAATCTTAACACAGAATTACAAATACTAAGACCATGTATCCCATCAACCTATATACAGTGAAACTTATGTGTAATGAATTCTAAGAATGGTTTAACTGTATTTCAGAAATTGAGGCAGAATTACTGCAAACTTCGGATCTCCTAGAATATAGTCATGAAGAAACAGGTATTGATCTTTGGTTTTTTATTTTTTATTTTAAGTACCACCAACTAATTACAAATACTAAATTGCATGTATTTAATCGTATAAAGAAACATGTATCGTTTGTTTGTCTGTTAATTTTCTCTCTATATTAATTCAGTTCAACGGATCAAATTTCGAATGCAAACTTTCTTATACGCCATCTATGTTAGTGTGTAAAGCATATTCATTCATTCATTAATAAATTGTTTGTTTGTTTGTTTGTTTGTTTAATACAACTTAATACGAAACATGCATATGTGGTTATAAAGTAGTAATGGTTTATAGATGCTGAATGTGCGTAATACATATATTATGTATGAATTCGGGTAAAAACTAAGAATTCTTAACTTTATTAAGTATGTGATATGCGTATACGCTTATAAAGTTGTATTGATAAGAATATTTACAAATTCGTACAATTTTATTTATTTATAGCTTTTGGTTATAATCAAATCGATGATGAGACTATATTGATTCTCCAAAACCTGGTGGCTGAAGAAAATGAGTTGATGAAAGATCTTGAATGAAAATGCAGGTGAATATTGTTTCATAACAGACATAATTCATATCGACCAACTCCATATAAATGGATATGCCATATTTTCAGAATCATATATATATGTTATTCTTTAAACACCTCTTACCCATTTCATTCAATCAATATAAAGCGCACGTGAAATGTTTTATCTTTTTGAGGGAATCTTACAATAGTTAGAGTTGATTGAATGATACATACATACATACATATACATACATGTATATGTACTTGTGAAAAAGTAGTAGTAGTATTGCTATATTTACAAATTCGCACAATTCTATTTTTTCCGATTTTTTCGAACGTGCGTAATTCAGTTACACTTTGTCTTTGTCTCTTAATATAGAATAATACAGTATGATTTTTTTTGTTTTTGTTTGCTTGTTTGTTTGTTTGTTCGTATGATTAAATGTCGTTTAATAGGAACAGTTTGAAAATATACACTTCATTTCAGGTTTTAAATGTCACCGCTGCTGTTATATACAGATGAAATCACCAAATGCATTGAAGAATGTCCATGATCATTTGATTCGACTCTATGCACGGGGCTATATCGACTTCGTACGTACTTCCTGTAATTTTGTGGACTGCGTCGTACATCTCCTCAGTGAAAGTTATATTCAAAAATGAAGCCAGGCGTTTTGAAACTTTTTTTATTTCGATATTAAGGATGTTGTCTGCAGCTATGAAGAAGTAAGGTTCCGTGACGCATTCGTGTTGATTTGCTGAGTTGGTTTGACACTGAACGCAAGCTCCTTTGAGACGCAATATTTCTTTATTCAACAAAAATATATAAGCGTATTTCAGGATTTCATCACAAGTTGGTACGAGGATCTTTTTTTGTTCAATCAACAGTTTAGTGCAATCAGTTCCCTTGCTTAGTTCTGCATCCATTTTCATCAGAGATTGTTCAAACGTAAGAGTCCATTCAAAGGCTATGTTTGCGCTCTGATTAGTTTTCACTAATCGAAAACATGTCAACGTTTGATCATCATCATCAGTATTCGTCATAGAGATTTTTCGCTTTTTACTTTTCAAATATGGATCAATTTCAGCTTGAAGACCAATGAATTTCGACCATATCGAGTATGTTAGTTCGAGAGACTTAAGTTCATCGATGGTTTTCCTGTCTTTGTCAAGATACATAAGCTGTATTGTAACTTCATCAGTATCATTCTGTGGTTTACGTAGTTTTAATAAAACATTTCTGGACAGTATCATACTCTTTGTAAAAGTTTTATTCTGTATCCATAGATCCAAGGTGACTATGTTTTTCTTAATTTGTACGTACAGATCTTTACTCACGAACGAATGTATTCCATATTCTTTATTCTTTTGAATTGAAAATCCTGTCCTTTTAAATTCACCATAAACGCCATAGATATTATGTGAACATATATCAAACAACAATTCAGGTGTTAATTCGAAACTTTTCACGATTGAAGAATTTGCCATAGCCATTTTGAGATTTTTCGCTCTACTGGTTACTACCTTATCACCTGACTTATATACCCTGTAGAAGTCACTCAGTTGAGAGAGTGGGTGTATGATTAACCAATCAAAAGAGAGATGGTGGTTCAAGGTTAAATTATAACCAATCGGAAGTCTTTTGGTGGGTGTTGGAAGGACGATTTTCAAACGTTTGTCTATGGTATTCTACACAGACATTAGGGTTTTGTACTTTAATATAGGCCTGCTGTTCTTTCAGAGAAATTTTAACTCATGACATTTTGTATACTTTAATTTGTAGTTTATGACAATGTAATATTTAGCGAGTCTAAATAATCAGTACATAACTCAAAAGTATAGGAAAAAATTAAATAAAAGTTTGAATGAACTTTATGATGTTACCACCAATGATATGAATTGATCAAAGTAAGTTGTTTAACAATGTTATAACTTAAAGTATATCATTGGTATGCTATATTTCAAATACTACTTTCTTATCAGAATTGTATACTTACAACTTCAGTACAGTTTATTGTAGTATGTATTAAATACAGACTCGGGTAATGCACAGGGTGTATCAAAATTTCAAGCAAAATGTTCAATTATCCAATCAATTTATTCCTTACAAGCTCAAACATAATATCTCCAAATGGTAACCATTCTTATATACAAATGATTGTATTGTTGTGAAATCAAATAACGTTTTCATTTTAGTTTTTAGAAAAAAATTGACAAGAATTGATTTGTCCCAAAATATTCTAAAATTAAAACAATTTTCTTCAAGATACGCGCCAGATCTGATTACACCTTTCTGTGTAACATTGGTTTTATTCAAAATGCTTGAATATTAATTTTATTTATTTCAACAAATAGGAGTTTTAAATTCTATTATTTGAAGCAGCTTGACTTGAAATTCTAAATGAATTCATTCTTACGTTGGCAAACTTTAAAATCAGTGTTAAATGAATGTAAAAATGTACAATAGTATGTCACCAATTTTCTAATGAATAACAACCAAAGTCTTGTAATTCAAATTTTATTTATTTATCACATTGAAATAATAATATTTCAATACAACTGTAAATGCTTAATTCTGTACAGATTATGATAATAAAACATATTTGTATTGTTTAACATGTTTAGCGTTTTGTTATAATTTTTGGAAGAAATAGTTTAAGTAAAAGTAGCACACTCTAGATTTTTTCAAAAGTCTAAGTCTTTTCTTGTTCCAACCTCGATGTTTATCAGAGAGAAATTCAAAAGTCGGTTTGTAGGATGATAATTGTTGTTTTTCTTGTTCTGTCATATCTATATTTTTCAGTCCAATGTTTAGTATGATTTCACATATGATTTTCAACTGTCCCAGAGACATTGATTTAAGCAACGCTGTGCGTTGCTGTTTTGTAGTTTCTGGTTGAGTGAGTAACGTCAGATAGGCACTATGTTTTTTCAAATCCGGATTCATTGTAAAGTAACCCAGTGTTTTGCTGTAGCTGTCTTTTTTCGTTTCAATGAGGGATAAGCAGGGATTCCAGGTGGTAGAAATCGTCTTATCTGTTTTTTAGATTGTATACCAGTTGTAATATCCACTGAGGATTTTGAAGATTGTGCAGTATCTGTGGATTGTGCAGTATCCTTGGATTGATATAATTGTTTCAATCGATCAATTTCTGTTTTCAAAGTTTCAATTTCTTCGGAAGTAGATTGTTCGTTGGCAACTATTGTATCTGCTTCAGTTTTCGATTTTTCAATTAGCCTCGTATATTTTTCATAGGGGATCATCACAGTACGGTTACTCATTTTTAAATGATATTAATTCATCATGCTTCCTTATTTATAAACTACCGTAGATAATAGGATCTTGACCTGGAAATATTTTAGTTCTCAGTCTAGTATCATCTCTACTATGCGGTGATAAGTCGATTATTAAATAACCATACGGCAGAGATACGGCGTCAGCATATGCTTCCATCAAGACATTGGTCTTCCCTGGTGAGATCTGCTTCGCTAAATGCATAATTTGAGATTTATCCCTCAACGAACGAAACAGAATAATATACTGTGTGTTTAGGGTCATTGTCCGAATACCTTTCAGAAAAAGTTGTTGCGTAATAAATATGGCACTTAAACATTTATGGTGGGTTCCTTGAGTAAACAAAAGCTCCATTTCTGGTTCTTTGACGACAGAATTCATTAGATCATCCAAAATGATGAGGTTATGTTTTCTACCTTCCGATAGTGTATCTATGATAGTTTTGCTTGGTAAACCTTCGTGAAAGGTTACATTATCGAATTCCCTTTCTATTTTTTCGAATAAAGGTTGGTGAATACCGTAACAATACAACACTTTCTCAGGCGTTGGTTTCTCAAACATGCCAGGTAAGCATTTCAAAAGTTCATACACAAATGTAGTTTTCCCACTCCCAATCGCTCCAGAAATGATTAAACTGCTGCATGTTTTAAAAGGAATCAGACTCTCCTTGTCGTACCATGCCATTACTTCAAATGATATTTGAAATTAAACGTATCGGTTTTATAGTTGTTTGACATCCTTAGTATCGATCCATGTGTCAAATTTTGGAGGCCAACCTTCCCATCTGATTAGAGATTCCTTACCACGTTTTCGCGTCTTCAATACACGCTCGATTCTATGTACCTCTGGGGCCTTGGAGATTTTTTGCATTTCGTCTTCATACACTAGTCCTTCGATGATCTCCCCTTCGAGATCTTCGATGACATAGGTCGGTGGGGAAGTATTTTTACGTTCTTTAATCTTGAAATATTCGATGGACCATTTTTGATCATAACCTCTATCGAAAACTCCCCTGGTAAAAGCTAGCCGTACTAGATCTCCGATCTTGTAATTATATCTGGCATCCTTATCTTTTTTTTTAGGTTTCTCATATAAGGTTTCAAACACCAGCAACTCATTAGTATCATCCACATCAGCAGGTGCCATCTTGATACTTCTATGGTAAGAATGGTTATAGGAATTAACCACATCTTGAAGCACATCAATATATCTTCTTGTCGCCTTGTGATACATGTAGCGGAAAAGACGTCGTTTTAATGTCAAAATTACGCGTTCCCCAAAGTGACTTTTTACGTCCCCGCGCGTTGTGAAGTGCCACACGCCTATTTCTTTCATGTAAGCAATCACAAAACGGTTTTTGAACTCCGTCCCATTATCTGTCCGGCAGCGTCCAGGTTTTTCAGTTTCAAATATTCTCTTGAAAGCATTGACAGTTTCTTCACCCTTTTTGGTTTTTAAAGGTTGGACCCAGAGGAATTTACTGAGAGTATCGATGACCACTAACAGATATTTAAATCCGTCATTATCATCTGCGTATCTATCCATCATAGCTAAGTCAGCATCAACTTGTTCTAGTCTATGTCTAACTATCAAGGGTCGTCGTTTGAACATTCTCTTGACCCCCCGATATAAGCTATAAGTTTCGTGTTGACTTAACCAATTCCTAAGTTCACTTAGTGTTATGCCGGATCCTTTGACTTGCTTCCATAATTGTTTGAAACCAGAAAATGATCCAGGTCGTTTAGGATCGAAATAAAGCTTAGCTAAACGATTGGACTGTAGTTTCGTGAGTGTCATGATGATGACTGAAGGAGGGTAGCGGTTGTATGCAATTAAATAAATAAGTCAATATTAACTTCTATATACATTTTATTTACTCATTATAAACATGTAACATACACACTGGTGATCCACTCGATTACGCTGGTTACCAAAACGAACCGTTTTGGTAACAAAATGTCGGAACGTCGAAGGCACGATTTTTCTTTTTTCCTTATTTCACGCGTTGTAGGCAGAATCCCCACGAAGTTTTTTCTCACAACGTGCATCAGTATCATATGTTTTAGAAAATGTACATGTTTGCGATAAAATAGCTCAGAAGACAACAGAATCTTCGATTTACTTCCTCACTTAAGTTACATAAACGGTTTTTCGAAAAACAGTTAAGATCTGCACTTTTAACCCAAACCGTTTATGTAACTTAAGTGAGGAAGTAAATCGACGATTCTGTTGTCTTCTGAACTATTTGTTCGCAAATATGTACACTTTCTTAAACATATGATACTGATACACGTTTGTGTTAAAAAATGTCGTGGGAATTCTGCCTAAAAGTGTAAAATAAGGAAACGAGAAAAATCGTACCTTCCGGATGTTCCGACATTTTGTTACCAAAACGGTTCGTTTTGGTAACCAGCGTAATCGAGTGGATCACCAGTGATACATAATTGTATTGTAATTATATTAATTTACTTCTTCTCTAACTAGTTCTAACAAGCAACCAGGGATTTAATTTCAACTTTAGAAAATCTGACTATAGTAATGAATCATATATACACTTTTATCAATGCTATGGTTCATTCATTCAATAAGCTATATACAGAGGACATATATGATTGCATTGGATGTACATTTTTCATTCTAAATATTAGTATTTTTAACAAGCAAGCAAAGACTTCAACTGAAGGAAAGTTATATACACTAATGAATCATTGTCACTGCTTATATCTAGGTTAGATACAATAGTATCCATGCTATAACCTATACAACGTAAAAGAATATATACAATGCAAAATTCTCCGCAAAATATGCTCCCTTTTCTCTGAATAGTTATGGCGTTATGTTTTAATGTTCCATCGTATTCAGCAAAGTCGTAGAATTTAGGTGAGTTTCCCAAAGGATCGAAAAACTCTAAATTATCAACTCCAGCCCAAAAGACTGTCCAGTGTTTACCAGGTTCATGTCGTTGATCAGTGTTGGCTACGAAGAATTGTCCTTGCTTGAGTGCTAACGGTAGTTTATCTCGAGGAAAAACACCAATAAAATTGTCCCGAGTGTCAGGATGTTTCTTTAGTACACATTCGATTTGATCACCTCTCATACTTTCAACCTTGAATTATGTTTCTAGAAGCGTCCAATTCAAATTTATCTGGGAAAGTCGCCATGAGAATAACATTAATAGGATCACTGAGAGCTTTTGCAAATCGAAGTTCAACTTTCAAGTTCCCTTTTTTAATGATAGGAAATGCTTCGTGTCTGGTGGTTTTATCTTTATATTGAACATCGAATTTAAAAAGTGTGTAACCATTTTCAAATTGATCCCGACTCATCATGAGGCCCTCATCTGAAGTGAGATCAGAAAACAACCTCATGTATTCTCTCATGTATCGATTCCCTTTTTCTTTACCAAAAATAGGTTTAAGAGCGGGTTCTGGGACACTAACGCCATCTACACTGACCTCCAAATGATTTACTTCGAAATGTTGGAAATTCAATGGGTTTAATTTGTACGAACCAGTGTACGCCTCTGATTTTACCATACAACACAACAATCTATTTGGGATATTGCCATGAAAAATGTCATCCATATTGAAACTAAATTGACCCGCAGGAATAGTGTACACTTTGATATCGTTTCTCTCAAAGGGATAGATGGCGTTGCGTTCCTTCAATTCGGTATTATAAGCTTGGAGAATACCAGGAGCGACTGATATCATTGGTACTTTTAAACAAACGTCCAAAAGTTCGCTTTTGAAACGTTCATCTGTCCCAGCCATTAGGTTGAATTCTGAACGAGAAGGAGAAAGTTTTATACGAATTTCAACTCCGTTCAGCAGATATTTTTCGATTCCAAATATGTCTTCCAAGAGTGTAGTTTCCATATCAACAGGATTTCCTCCCTTACTGTAGCGGAACCTGGATAACGCTCCTAGGTTCATGTTATCTCGTTCTATGGTAGACTCCATATGGTTGCGAGATGGTCCATTGTCTTCAAAGAAAAACGAGCTGGTAGCTTTAGATCTCAACATAGAGGGGGAAAATCCTAACATTTTCAGCATCGCTTTGTAAGGATAATTCAACGTGGATGAAGCTACAGAACGTTGGTTTAATTGAATTTCAACCTGACTAAAAAGACTGTGCACCCAGTTGTTAACAGGAAACACATGATCGAAGTCCTCTGCTGAATCGTACTTAGGTAAACTATTGTCGTCTTTGAGAATGCGTGCCCTAACATAGAGTCTTATATTTCTAAGATCTATGCACTGTGAACTATTATTTACGATAACGAATTCCACGGGTGCATTGTGCGCTAATGGGTTGACAGGTCTGTGTTCGACGTAGTTGATATTTGTAATACTCGATTCAGTGGGTGGAGTTTCGAATAAATGTAGTTTAGAGTTCAAGACATCTTCGCTGTGTTCTAATTTGAATTCCATGCTGTCTGTGTCTTGGATTTGGAAGTCGCTTTCTTATTCTTCTTAAGATTTCTTTTTGTCACTTTCTTCTTCTTCGGAATTGACTGCGTGACTGAAGATGATGAAGGGTTTTGCTTCAATTTATACGATTTCTCAGCACGTGACTCCTCGTTCTGTTGTTTTATTTGTGCCTTAGCTCTATCTACGACAGCCTGCATTGGAGATATCACTTGAATAGGTTCCTTAATGGCACTGATGGGAATATATCTCGCTCTATGTTTCCCGAAACCTACTTGAGTAGAGATTCTATTCTCTCTTCCAGCCCTTATGATTTTACGCCATTTCTCGGCATTGTCCACGTATGGTACAACTTTCATGTTCCACTTTTTTCAAATGTAACGTACAGAATAAAGTCTTATCTTCGAATGAAACTGTATTACCAAGTCTGTCTTTTATATAGATTCTGATGCGATCAAATTCCTGACTATTTAATGCAACATATAATGTTGGTAGGCCTATGTTATAAGTAAGATGTTTAGGTATCCGTCTTAATATAGGCAACTTGTTTCCTTCACAAATACTTTCACTCACTATATCACAAAATATGTTTATATAATCGTTACCAGAATGAGGTGGTACCATGATATCAATAAGTCCTATTTTCCATTTTCCTTCCAACCTCAAATAACTTGGTAGCTTAACTATGAAATCACCAGGTTTGTTTGTAGGATAAATATTCGTGGAGTCCTTACTACTCAAATATAAAAACATATCTGACTCCATGGTAATTTTCAAATTGAAAATTGAGTTTCTTTTTCCAAATGACAACGCTCGGTAATGATCAAGTTCTTATAACTATAAAGAAGCGTGTACTCCATCAAGTAGAGCGTTTCCTTTTGATACGTAATACTCTTGGGAGGGAACGTGGGTGTAGGGATGTAGGGTATCACGTTTTTCAAACGTTTAAACCTGTGGGTAGGGCGTAGGCGTACGTAGGTGTAAGGAGGTTAACGTAGGCGTACGTAGGCGTAGGTTCCAGTCTCCAGTCTCCATGCGGCCCCTTTTATACGCGTTACACTACTGATCATTGTTCTTTTTCATGATACCTACGGGAAAACTTATTGAGGCTGTGTTTTTTGAACTGTCCGCGGCGTTATTCAATTGCATAATTCTACCTTAAGTTTTCTACCTACATAGGTATCACAAAAAAAGAAGAATAAGCCCCTGTGGTGCAAATCCTAGTCGGCTATTTGCTAATGAAGCACAGGAGTTCCATTGCAACAAACCGTGATGTCTCAAAATAATTATTTGAGTGAAGGTACACTTGGATGAGCTATTTTTGTTGAAAAGACAAGAGCATGCAATTTGGACTGCATAGCCTATTGTTCTTTTTAGTGATACTAGGGGAGAAACCTCATTAACATATTACGCAATTCGCTTGCACCGGGGTCATAAGAAATACAACCCAATTATCATGTAATACACTTGCGCCGTGGGCAGTTCAAAACGTAGTCTCAATATTGTTGAATTATGGGTTACACAATCTTCGATGCTTCTCGTATTAACGGCAGTTGTCTTTGATGTCAAATGAAAGATGGAGTAATTATCGATTTATTGATAATACTTAGGTGATGAAAAATAAAAATTTATTTTGCTAAAAGCTTTGTAAAGTACATATACATTCATTTTAAGTGTCAATATATTCGATCAATTATTCCATAAATGTAGAAAATATTAAATACATTACAATATTAAAAGCAATTGAAATATAAGGTTTACAAAAATGATTTTCAGGAGATCAAAACAACCCCTTTATAGCAGAATCAGTGTTATGCATTATCAATCAATATATGATGTTTCTTATAAACACTACAAAAAGTATATTAACCATATGGGACATCAGCAGTAATGTAACTCTTAAATATCAATGTTTATCGACATTGTTTCAACGACTGAATTATTGTATGTAATGATTCCCATGCAGGAATTTCACATATTTAACTCATACTTTATTGATTCTGTATCAAATGGCAAAAAAAAGAAAATCGATTAGTTGATTGCTGGATTGTTTGTTATATCATACAAAATGTACAGATTACTGTATAACGAGTCTTACACAAGCGAGACTCGAGTCCACTTGTGTCCACCATAAATCCTGCATTTTGGCAGCAGTCAACGCTTTGTCAACGGTCTCGAACAATTAACTGATTAAAACTTATGTGGTAACTTTTTATCATTGTTTGATGAGGACAACGCTTCATTATCTCCATCCATTTTAAGAGTATATTTATGTTTTATATTTCTCCATTGTACTACTATCGTGCATATATCGAGATGCAAAACTTTTTCAAAGTCATACACTAGGCTCTATGGCACTACGCATACTCATTGCATGCCATGGCAACAATTATTATATTTCTGAGCCTGAAAAACGAAATATTCCCAAACGAACATGTTTTCATTAATTCATCATTTAGAAATAATTGGTATATGTTTGGATCTGTTCTGCTTTCCTAATGCTATTTCATATGCTAATTCATTTCTTCTTCTACGACCAGAAGATGAAGATGTTGATGAACAGGTTGAGCGAGATGACAAGCTATCATTATCAAAATCTTTCCAAGGGCCGACTAATGCTGGTTTGATTCCTATGCAGCATGAAAGCTTGAAATCTTTTTCAGTTGTTTCATCGTCCTTATTTATTCTGTAAGCAAGTTCTTCCAGAGCATCATTTAAACTGAATGCCAATGAGACAGGTCTCTTCCAAGTATTTTTAACATTGTCTTTGTCCCAGCCAGCAAAAATCATGTAACATTCTGTTTTGTGATCTTCTTCTGGATTTTCAACGCAGATAATTGATCCACTGTGCCCATGCTCTGTGAATGCTTCGTCACAATCTTCTGAATCTGCGCAAACAACGGTAAGATTATTAGACCACGCCGTTCGGTTTCCAATTTCAATTTCTCCTTTCCCACATCGATCCACTATTTTACCTTTTTTGACTGTATCAAAGCCTAATAGTGTTACATGGCAATTAGCTGGACACGAGGATTTTTTTATACAGCACTCGAAACATGGCTTACATTCGCTTTTGATATCAGCATGTTCATCATCTACTCGTATACATGCAATATCATATTGTTCTCCTACTTCATCACTAATATCACTAACGTCATCTTCAAATTGCTTCCAGAGCATATCGTCATCATCAGAGGTGTCACTGTCATCGCTGTCATCATCACGCCATTCATGATATTGTTGGCCATCTGCCAATGAATTGGAAACTCCGCTATCGTTACTTGATGAGATGGAAGCCTCGTCATCACCATCCATAATCAAGGGTATCCTATATGGTACGTGTTTACCTATTGGTCGTAGATCTGATTGGTCTTCTTTAGACCAGGTGATATATTCTCTGGGCATTATGTTGCCTTGATCTTCAACTACATGATTTGCTGTGATGGCATATACTTCAGCAGTGCTATCATTCCCAGATAATTCAACAAGACCACCCAACGTGCCATGGGGACATGTAATGTAGTCATGATGACAATTCTCATTTGGGTCAAGATCACGGTTGTGTAATGGGGCTCCTGTACACCCAAGCAAGTGTATGTGTTCCCCTTTCTTCCAAGGAACAAAGTTGAACTTGTAACCTGGTATGTGTTTCTTTATGAATTTTGATGTTTTCTTGACACATCCCTCAACAATATGAATAGTGTAGTATCCATCCTCTCTCATCGAACAGAACTTTACCACTGGGATCCTTAAAAGGAAAAATCAAGATCATTAGCGATTTGGAAGCCTTTAACATAAAGAACATAAACTTTTGCTATGGATAAGACAATATGTATTTACATATCAAATATGAACAAAAAACTGAGTTATAGTGAAAAACGAAAAATAACAAATGTAAAAATGGTTGCCCTTTTTCAAAATGGCCGCCTACTCCCGAAAGTGTCATTAGTAGTTCACATATCAAATAAGAACAAAATTGCTCGACTTCATTTTGAGCCTTAGTTGAAAACGTAATAATGGCAGCCATTTTGAAAAATGGCTGTCATTAGACAGTGTACAAGGCGCATTAGTTTTGACATATCAAATATGAACAAAATCGCTCAACTACTTTTTGAGTAATTATTTTCGATAATATTAAGTTCATAGAATAAGGGCAAAAATTTTGGACAATATATACCATATATTGAGTGTAAATAACGGATGATGCACTTAGTAACTGGATATTTTAGTGTTTCACTTGATAATTATAGTATTGCGGATTAAAAATAACCCGGGGGAGAACATCGATTAACAATAACATTTAAACATACCATTGTAATAGTTTTATATCTCTTTTGGACAACTTTTCAAATGGTGCTTTCAAAGGTACATCTTTCAGAGATTTGGAGGTATCTAAAGCATTATCTTTATGAGACTCTTTCATGGGTGTATCAGCATCACCACCATCATTCTTAATCATGGCATCAGGCAGATCCTTCTTTTCCTTTAGAATGCCACCATCCTCTTTATATGTGACGCCTGTGGAACCTAAATCACGAGTCATAGTTTACATTTCCATGTAACATTCACTATTCTTCTAAAACATAACTGTAATTTCCCCAAAAGTTTCATTATCTCAAATTTATTAATACTCAATTTTGTTGAACTTACAACTGGGTTCGGTTTCCTTTTTGCCAAATGACACAACTCGAGTGTTAATAGAGACACTCTTATTAGTCCTCTGGCTGGACGTATGATATCGATTAAGGTCTTCTATATTTTCCTTGTCGGGATTATCTAAAAACAATGACAAATGACAACAATCTTCGCCAGTATTTTGGATTCAATATTTTAAAGCAACTGCTTAATGGGATTTATATTATTCTATACTCATTCAATTAGCATATGATATGAATTTGAAATAACTGCGTTTGCATAAAATCTTAAGTATATGGTATTATGGTATTTCTGTTCTGTCTACTTTTAGTTTGTTTTAATACCTCGCTTTTGTTTTGAAAAATCTTCTGCTTCTTTTGACTGTTTCATCAACGTGGATAACCGTTCATTATGCTCTCGTTGACGATCCTTCAAATATTTCTGTCTGTTTGTGCCTCTTTTGCATTTTTTCATTTCTATGTCAATCTTATCGAGTAATTCCTGCAGTCTTTTTTTCACAAAACGTGGACCAATCGTATTGAACTCAACATCACTTGGCCAGTCACAATCTTCGTAACTCTTATCCCAATCTATAATTGAACAATAAAGTTACAGCATTATTTATAATTAATAGATTTATCCAGCCTCATCCATTGCCCTTTTCAAAATGGCCGCCTACCCCCTAAAACACAGCATTTTATCCCTAATGTTTGATTTAACTTTATTTACTATTATCTCTTAAGTGTATATAATCTGCATAACTTGCATTTTACCAAGGTATTTTGTTACTAAAGGATAAGTTGTTTTTCGATGGGGGAACTACATACATTGAAAACCACGTGCATAGAACCTGTCGAAATTGTCATGACCAGAATCATTATCGGGAAATCTTTCTTAAATTCTAGGTTGACATATATGATAAGATCCATGGAATATAAAAGTTTCCCATTAGCAGTATTCGGAATGGGAAATGGCTGAACCAATACAAAATAAATCATTGTTCATTTATACAAATTTCATTTCAGATCCAGAAATGTTTGCATTTAGAATGGGGTAAGGGAATATCTGATGCATGCTAATATAATTCCACTTTATATAATACTAGCCATCTGCAGGTTTTGAAAGTGCTCCGTCATCCATTTGAAGGAATCCGTCCACTTCTAAGTAACAACGCCTTTGCTCGTAGTGATCAATCAGTCGTGACCACATTTCATCACATTTGAGTAGATCACCATTTCCTAAAACGTATTAGTATACCAGTATGCTTTTTACTACTAGTACTACTTACTTACTTAGCTAACTTTATCCAGGAGGTTCTACGAGAGTTTTGATAAATGTTAATATATACATGAAAACATATGAATATAACTTAATTTGTATTGGTATATTATTTATGTTCAATCTATACAATATGATACAAAAGAGAATCAAACCTAAAAACAATACTTATAAAACAACCTGATTCACCCATTCAATTAATACTACCACCCAAAACAAATTTATATTACAAAGATGTATAAAAATAAAAGAGACGGTAAACGACGAAATAAAAATGCCATAAAACTCCTTGTTTACCCATGCAACAATGGTTTGTTACATACATTCTACAATTTCAAGTAAATACACTCGCCATACTTTATAGAATCTATGTATTTTAACAAGTCTAATATGATAAGCTATTGAAAGGCTATGCAGCTAATAAAATACAATAGGAATTTAAAGTCTTTATCAAAGGAGTGAAATTCTCCTCAAAGAAAGTAATTCTTATGTCGCTTATCATATTGAACTATATACTAGACAATGTAATGGTCACGATCCCTGCACTTAGTAATAAATATATAAACCACCAAGTTCTGTCATTTACAACTCTATGATTCGGAATATACAAACCTTTTTTACAACGCTTCTGTAAGAAATAACAAAGTCTAGATATTTCATTGTACTTCAAATTAATTAAATAGAAATATAAGCCAAATGGTTTAATGTACTAATTTTTTTGCATTTCAATCCAAAACGTTTTACATGCTTTCAAAAGCTATTATTTTTTGCGATTATTCTTAACGAAATATCTGTATTGAAATTATTTTACTGAAATTATCTATTCTCTCTGTCATTTTGAGATCATTCAAATATCTGTAAAATTTGCTTACCAATAATGATGAGGCCAAATCTGGCTCTAGTAAGAGCAACGTTGATTTGATTAGCATCGGTAATAAAACCCAATTTTCTTCTTATCCAACCAAGAGAGATAGTCTTTTCATCTCGTATTTCATGGCTTGGAAGAGAGCGGACGGTTGATAAAATTACATAGTCCCATTCGCCACCTGAAATAATCACAATATACATTGTCATTGTCTACTCACAATTTGGCATTATGTATTTTGTATTTTGTAACACGGTCAACTATTCAAAATCAGCTAGTGTCAATTCATGACATACGACACACGCTTTTTAACAGTCAGCAGGAATTCACTTTAATGGAAGAAAATATATGATTAATTGGCGCAGAGTGATTGTAAGAAATTGTTATATTCTTGACCTTGGCTTGCAACTACTGAATGAACATGAACGTTGTCATGTTGGTGTAATGGGTGTTTCTTGATTTCCAGTTCTATGGCTGCACATTGTGCTCTGTATTGTGATAAGACTGCTATTCGCTCTGGAGCGACTTTTAGGACTTCAACTAGGGTCTTGTAAATCCTCACCTGAAATGAATGAAAACGAACTATAACGAACTGAATAATGTCGATAAATTCTGATAGTGGTAATGACTATGAGTATGGTAAATTCTAACCATAAAGACAGGTAGCTGCTTATTAATTTTCTTCAGAAAAGTTAAGCTAATCGAACTTTACCGATGGAGGGGCTTTAAGACCCCGTATAGAAAAGTCAAGCTAATCGAACTTTATCGATGGAGGGGCTAATAGACCCCGTTCAGAAAAGTCAAGCTAATCGAACTTTATCGATGGAGGGGCTAATAGACCCCGTTCAGAAAAGTCAAGCTAATCGAACTTTATCGATGGAGGGGCTAATAGACCCCGTTCAGAAAAGTTAAGCTAATCGAACTTTATCGATGGAGGGGCTAATAGACCCCGTTCAGAAAAGTCAAGCTAATCAAACTTAATCGATGGAGGGGCTAATAGACCCCGTTCAGAAAAGTCAAGCTAAACGAACTTTATCGATGGAGGGGCTAATAGACCCCGTTCAGAAAAGTCAAGCTAATCGAACTTTATCGATGGAGGGGCTAATAGACCCCGTTCAGAAAAGTCAAGCTAATCGAATTTTATTGATGGAGGGGCTAATAGACCCCGTTCAGAAAAGTCAAGCTAATCAAACTTTATCGATGGAGGGGCTAATAGACCCCGTTCAGAAAAAGTCAAGCTAATCGAACTTTATCAATGGAGGGACTAATAGATCCCGTTCAGAAAAGTCAAGCTAATCGAATTTTATCGATGGAGGGGCTAATAGACCCCGTTCAGAAAAGTCAAGCTAATCGAACTTTATTGATGGAGGGGCTAATAGACCCCGTTCAGAAAAGTCAAGCTAATCGAACTTTATCGATGGAGGGGCTAATAGACACAGTTTACAAAATGTTAATCTAATTCATTATGAGATTCATGATTAGATGGTCCGATTGATTTAATTTTTAATTTTGTGTATTTAGTTGGAGATTGGCCGAAAGACATGCTGTTTATAATGTTGAAAGACAAGCAAATGCACAACTGCATTGGTTTGACTACACTATTGAACCCACTTCTTCGACTTGATACAGAGAATAATACCATTCGTATTTGACAATCATCATAATATTGATACACATGTAACAATACAAATAAAAAACACTAAGTATATATCCACATACACAATTATATATGTCAAACTATGATAAAAGTTTCGAGATGCAAGTAAATTAATTTCATATAAGCACTTTCTTCTAGGATGTCAGTCTACAATTACTAAAACCAATGCACTCCATACCGAGTGAATGATTTCCATCTCATTGCTCTTTGATTGTTCATTGCCTTCTTCACATGTAATGGTCAATGTTTTCTCTTCACCAGACACGTTGAGGAAAACAGCTCTGTTATCACCGCCTCCTGGCCAAAAATCTTTCATTTTATCTAGACTCGTCATCTCGTTTCGTCCCTGGCTTGGATGCGTTTTTAAGTTTCCATTATAAAACTCGTTTGAAGGAAATTCACAAATAGATGGGTGCTGTAAAACAAATGATATTATATGGTATAAAATTTGTTTCAAGTAAAATCAAATTTTTGTCAAAATATAGCAAATGTAGAAATCATTATACTACCTACAGAGAAACCATACATCTATAGGTAACTCTTAGTTATAAGGTTTTACAACAAGGAGTCAATGTTAAATAACTGACATTTATTTTGTCTTAAAAGGACTATATATATAAAACTGACCATTCGATATTGCGTATCCAACATCATTGTTAATCTTTCATATCGGTAAAACAGACTACAGTCCAAATTCAGTTGCTTGGCTATTGCATTCCTTATGATGGGCTGTAGCTGCATGTGATCCCCTATGAGGACTATCTGTTCGGCTCTTGTTGATATGATAGGAACAAGGCATTCTGGTTCTTTACACATCCCAGCTTCATCAACGATTAATTGCTGAAAGTTGATTTTAGGGTATTCTTTTGACACATTCCAACTGGTGGTACATGTGCAGAGTATGATATCGTGGCGTTCTATCTCAAACTGTTCGGCCCTCTTTACAACTGTTTTGTACTCGTCTATTTTCTTTCGCAATCGTTTACTAACATTTCCGTTTGGATTGTGCTCCTTTTGTATTCCATCGTATTTGGTAAGAAGAGCTGCTGTGTACGGGTTTCCACTGGTCTTATCTCTAATCCGATGATGAAGAATGAATTCTTTGTGTTCTTCATCTGACTTTGTGTCTTTTATTCCTTTTTGGGATACACTTTGTTCACCAGGCAGGGGATACTCTTTTGCAACAATGGTTTTACTGTAGACACGTAATACACTGGGAAGCACAGATGGGAAGCGATCTGGAGCTAGGCATTTCTTCAGCATCCCTGTTTAAAATAATGTATAGTTAATATTACATTAAAAACTTGCTCGGGCACAGTTTTCTTTATTCAAATGACGATAAGTGGTTTGACTTGTATATTCTATTCCATCAAAGAATTCCTTGATAATGCCAAACTTTTATTTGTAAATCAGTGTTGTTTTTCATTACATACCAAGAATAACATCTACGGATCGATTAGATGGACCACAGTACATCAACTTCGATGAACTCCTTTCTGAATCAACCCGCTCTTTCTTATTTCTCTCATTGAATTGATACATGAGCCTCACTGCAGTCTCAGTTTTACCCGTTCCTACAAATGAGAAAATGCAATGGAAGTAAAAAATAATATACAAGATCAGTGTATGTTACTGTTGCCACTTCAACGTAGGAGCACTTTTTAAAATTTCTGAAATTTTAATAATAAGATTGACTGTCTAAAGCATGACTCTGTAAATGGAAATAGATGACACATTATAGCGCACTTATATTAGAACCCAAGTATAATTGAGTGGCGGGTATTGAAATAGCAGAGATTTTCAAATATAAAGAGAATAGGGTGATGATGGTCCACATCTCAAAATGTCGCCAGAACCTCAAGCTATGTAAAAATGTTCAATATATTATTTCACTTTTGACCATCTGCTCAGTAAAGACAACATTTGGCCATTAAGCTGAGATTAGTCAAAATGAAATAATAAAAGAATCTTCTCTTTGGAACGAGTTTATGATTCATAACAGATACAGAAATCCCAGATCAAGCATACATGCGCTGAACTCCTAGATATTCCATGCCGTAGACTCAAAACATTTACATCAAATGTACATGTCGTTTTGTTGAACGTATATAGAAACACAAACACCATATGTACTTTGTGTATTTTAATGCATACCTGGTGGGCCTTGTATCAATGTGAAGTCCTGTTGAACTGCAGCAAGAATGGCACGTTTCTGAGATGGGTTCATAGCATGTTTCTGCATATAAAAATCGGTATCCAATGGTGCAAGATCGTCAGAATCCATCACTGAAATGAAGTACAAAATCCACCACGTATAGTAAGAAGTTAAATACACTTGGTACCATATATCCTGCCTTTGACTGTTGATGGGAAGGGGACTTATTTGACACCCTATATAACTGACAATCTTGCAAGCTATGTAAAACTAATGAAAGGTCCACAAAATTGGGCATTAAATTTATGTCTACTGGGTTTTGCATGTAATGCTGATGTGTAAGACCAGTCAGTCCTCTGTCTTCATCAACTAACGATGAAAAAATATAAGAGCATAGATATATGAAGATGGTTGATGCATTCAACAAATACAAACCTTTTTTAGGCGACATTGTTCCCAATACAAGTTCAGCTCTTGACGACTCAGGCGTGAGATTCAATATGATGCTTTCCATGGCACTACAATTTAAGAAATTCTACCAATAAGTCAAGCTACCAATGGTCTGTGAGTTATAAGTAGTGTTAGAAATGTAATATTCTTAAAAAACACTCTTAATGTAACTGGTCACTGCTGATTTAATTAACGAATTTTCGTCGTTTAATTTATGTTTTACCCATCAAATATATATATATGTATGTGTATGTTTTGATCCACAGAAATTTTCAGATGAAGGGTCATGAATGTATTTTGAACAAATAAAATAGTTTTTATCCAGGAAAAAACGGATAAAAATGCACAAAAATCTCGGATATCATACTATACGTACATGGCTGGGCTTCCCTTGTGAATGATTTCAACGCTGAATTTATGCTCTTCTTCGGGGTTCAGAAAGCATTCTGGTAAACTCAGACCGAGGCTTCTCACGGTTTCTAGGATATTTATATGCAAAACTAATTCACCACTTTCACCTCTTATTATACTGCGGATCAATCCATGCCCAATCCAGTTATATGGCTTATGTTGGTCTTCTCTGATTTGCTCACTGGCTTGCGGGGCTTCATTGTCGCCATCGCCTGAGCTTTGTAAAATAGTGTTGTGTTCATTATATGGATCGGTTTGGCCTTCAAAATCATCATTCAAGCGTGGACCAATTATGCAAACATAGTAGTAGCAGACGCTTTCTCTTTCATGGTCGTCCTCTGTAGAATACTCATTCAGCACAATATTGTACTGAGAACAGAAATCAGGCGTAAGGATGAATGTCCCTTCTGTTTTGTTTTCCCATTGGATCGGTACATTGACAACAGTTATACTATTTGTATCTCTCACAGCTGATTCTGCAACTTCCATATCAAGTATTGGCTTTACAATGTCTTGGTATTCTCCAACTGAGTCGTACATTGGTTTCATTTTCTTGCCTGCTATATCAGCAAAGAATCGGATAGGGTCATTGTGGTGCGTAACACACAGGGTATGCTCTGGACTAAGATGCAGTAGCTGAACCTCAGGGGCAATCAACCGGCGATGAAATGTTGCTCCTAACTGTACCATGATCACCGTACCAAGGTTCACCTCCAAACTAAACTCACGCAATCCTTGTCCGTCATGTTTGAGAAGTTGTTTGTCCGAGTGTTTTACAACGCCATGCATCGTAAGCTGCTTCCATTCATTAAATGAAAGAGACACGACATGCCTTTCATTGTCCAACGTGTAGCAATTGTTGGATTGTGCAGCACCTGACGACATATTCTTACTAGCTTTAGACTCTTTACTGGATCTCTCCTTTGACTCTAGTTTATAAACACGTCTTTCCCAAGACAATTTCACTGACGTTTCATCTTCGTTGACCTTTGGAGGTGTAGATAGCTGTAGGCAGGAGTATTTAACAGATCGTAGCTTTGTTCTTAAGAAGCGCATATCAGGAAATGTGAACTGTATTCCACTATTTGAAACTACTGTTACAGTTGGCAAAAACATCAATGGGCGTTTCCTCAGATAATCACCATACAGCAAAGAGGTGCATGCATTGTGATAGGATTTGGAATTTTCTGCTTTAAAGCTGAATTCTTGGCAAAGCTCTTCTATACTACATGAAGGTGTGTAGTCGTTCTTCTCTGCAATAGATGCCTTCAAAATTCGCTGTGAAACAACGTCTAGGTAGCGACGTATAGGAGAAGTTACTTGCACGTAAGAATCGCAGTTCAACGAAAAGTGACCATAGTCGTTTTCCCTCAGGCATTCTGAACTCACAAACTTTGCAGCTCCTTGAATTCTGTACCATTGAAGCAATGCAACAAGGCATTGGGGATAATGTTTTTCTCCATGGATAAGTCGATCAGCTCTCTGTCTGTCACCAACACGAATGGCATCAATAATCTCCTCCCAGATAGGACGTTTTATTTGAATTGGTGGAATCTGGTTATTCCCCTCAGCATTAATATTTGTGCAGGAATGAGTTAGATGCAAATAATGCAGAATTCCACCATTCTCCTTCATCCAATTTGCTTCAGCCTCTTCATCCGGTCCAAACTGGTGACGCAATGCTGCTCTGTTAGGATATTTTGTAATTATCTGGCGCCCTGCTTGTATATTGTAAAATATCATGAGTTCACTTATCATCATCTCGGATTCTAGAGTTTCAATGGTCCGTTGGGATGTTTTGTATCGTTCACCGAGCCTCTGATAGCCCATCTGCTTTGTAATTGAGTTTAGAACTGCGAACTCTTTGTGCCATTCATCATTTTCATTTTTGAGTATTTCATTAACTTCCTGGTAGGTATAGTTTTTCGTAATGGCAACGACTCCAGGTTTGAATTCCACTGTACTTTCGTCTACACTGAAATCTTTGTTAACGATGCATGTAAGAGTTAGGGTGCATCTTTTTTGTCCACGTTCTAGGCTCAGTGTGTTCATAGCAAGTTTTGATCCAAATAGTTGTATTGGATCTTGATTGGATGGGTAGAAACTTGATCCTCGCACTCTTGCCACTTTATCTATTTGGCTATCTTCTTCGATATAGGCAGCAACATCCGTAATATGAATAGCCAATTTATATTTTCCATCTCTTCTTATTTCAAGTGAAATTCCATCATCCTTTTCATTTTTTATCGTTGGGTCTACAGTGAATGTAAATTTATTGCAGAAACTGACCCTATTTGATTGGTCTGGATCTATGACAAGATCTTCATAGCCATCAAATTTCGATTTTGGGAGACAGTATTGCATATTTAGTATCTTTTCTCCTTCGAGTAGATTTGTGCCTACAGGTTTGACATCAATCACAACACCCAGTGGATATTTGTAATGTTCATCCCATTTTACAATGTATACCAAATACACACGTCTATGACTTATCTGCTGACTTATGGTATCATGGCGTTTAAACATCAGACGTCCGTGAGCTGAATATATTGCTATTTGGTCTTCTTTGGTCTCATCGTGGCTAAGAATTGTTATTGGCAGCATTTGTTTTGAGATGGGACGCATAACGCATCGGTTGTAAGTATCGGGAATACAGGGTACAACAGTATTGACATGAGGGGTATATCGTTCCACAACTCCCACCACTTTCCCTTTGTATGGTACCTCGGTGTCCTTGGTCTGATCTAGGTCCTTCTCAGATGGTCTCTCGAGTCTTACAATCACTTTATCACCGCCATTGGCCATGCCACAATTTGCCCTTCCTTGAATTGATATTACGTCCTTTTGACTGTATGGGTCAACGGGGGTACACAGAGCAGAATCAGTAGATTCAATATCAATGTGACAAATTTTATAAACTGATGAAGAATCCTTTTTGACTGTATCGATGAATGTTTTTGTGACATTTTCATAGACTTTTTGGAAGTTTGGCTCATAAAATCGGGGGTCTTCGTCTTGCAAGAAATAGTCATCATCGCCGTCTGACATTCCATCAAGTTCACCAGCCCAGAACTGTTTTCTTTGATACTTATCCACCCAATCATGGATCTGAATATCAGTAGAGGTATCAGTTATCTTCTGTTTCAGTAGATCAGTTTCCCAATCTTCGTCGGATTTCAATTTGAGCTGCTCTTTTTGCCTTTTCGACTGGTAGTTTAATTCTTCCATAAACTCTGCATCGTCAATCTCTATCTCTGTGTCCTCACTACTGGCACATGTCAGGCTCGAATATCCACTCGATGTTATTTCTGAGTCCGAATGTGTGTTTAGTGAAGAGTATCCACTCGATTTCGAGTTTGATTCAGTTACAACTGAATCACTGTCTATTGCTAAATCAGCCAAGGGGCATTGCTTCATGTAGTCTTTCCAGATTCGGACACATTTTCCCCCAGATGTGAGTTTTTTTGGATCTCCACAAACAAATATCTCTTTTTTAGCCCGGCTTAATGCAGTGTTGAGAAGCTTTGTGTCGTTCAGCAACTCATCAGATGTGATCCCTCTGTTTATCGAGCTGATTAGTATTACACTAAATTCACGACCTGAAATAACCATGGTAATTATTAAGCATGTCTGCATTTTAAAAAGCTGATATTATTCAAGTCATAAAGAGTATGAGTTATGTGCTATGGTTGTTTCCATTTTAAAAGGCGATTCTCGGTTTGGAGAACAAAGTTCATCAATCTAAATTAGCATTATCCCTGCTTCGGACAAATTTGACTTTTTTACATAATATAGATTTGAATGTCTTCTTTTGAATAGTCATAATTTAATTTGGGTAATATTTCTAGATTATTTGCAAAAAATATTAGCGCAGTACACTGATGAACTTTTTTCCCCAAATCGAGACTTGTATTTTATTGAATCGGTCTAATTGAGCGTTATCCCTGCTTCAGACCAATTTGTTATTTTTACATTTTGTAGATTTAAATGTCCTATTTTGAATATTCATAGTTTAATTTGGGTAATGTTTCTATATTTTTCATGAAAATATTTTTTGCCCAGGAGACCTTTGAAGGAACTATATATATTCATCTGGATCGTTATATTTTGTACACACACATTTAAACTGTGCAACAATACAAATATCACATGCACGTCATCGACTTTACCATTTCAGTTATATTGTGCAAAGTAATAGCTGAAGCATCTTAATCTAATTGAAAATACAAACACTTACTTCTTGCGTTAGCAGGAGTAGATACATAGGTGTTTCTATCAAGACTGTGTTGGGATACTAGTTGTAATATCTTCTTTATCAGCAGGGCCTGACACAATTATGAAAATGCATAACAGTTTATGTATAAAAACAAAAGTATAATCTGCAAAAGCATTTTATATTGGACATAAATTATCATTATTAATATTTTTGCTTTTGCAGCTTGTCACTTCCTATATCTATGTGTTAGTAATTAAAGAAACAAATGATATAACTCCTCTTTACCAACACAATAACGATTGCTATCAGCAATCACAAGGTATATATAAGTAATCTAATTATTAGGTTATAAATAGGTAGTCTATCAATAGAGACAAAATTAAAATGTGCAATTATTATTTTCTGAAGTGTGCCCTGACTGCCAAATTAAAAACAATAATTTAATTTGGCTTGTAAATCCGTATTTAAAATATGGAAATGAGTGATTCGTTTCATTCATTAGATTTTGTATTTACCTGTGTCCTGAATGGAGTTAAGACTGCTATTTCATTTGGAGAATACTCTTTGGTATCAACCAGGTCTTTGATGCACTCGCAGATAGCATGCACTTCTATATTTTCATCAGTCGAGTATGCATTGACATCTAAGAATCTGAAGTTTTCAACTTTACAATCTTCATCGGTTTGCTGACGAGGAACAAGGCCGCCATTATAAAAATGCCTGCTCAAAAATAATGTCAGTTTTCGATCAGTTCTAAAAACGGTAAGTAGCATACTACAGTATGGGTGCAAGTTGGGCTTCTCTTGAAAGACATTGTACAGTTTCCAAAGACGTTCCAGCAACGAATATGACAGTCCATTTATTCCAGCACTTTTACTCTTAACATTTGGAGAGACTTGCTTGTAGTCGCCAGCTATGGCAATAATGGTTTGATGGTCGCCGAGGGTCATTGGCACTATAGTCTCTGGTTCAAGAGAGGATGTTGATTCATCTATTAGAATATGAGTGAATCTGAGGCTTGTTTTCTTATCTCTTCCAACATAATTGTGAAGCCAGATGGACTCGATATTTGTCGTAATGATGATCCCGGCTGAAAACAACTGGGTGATTTTCCCCCTATTGTTCATATCTTCTTTCCTAAATATGGTAATTCTCACACGCTTTGCTGCGTATGTTTTGCGTAACTCACGTTCAAACAATTCCTGATAGCGAGATGCGGAACTAGAAAAATAAAGTAATACAGAGTCAAATTGGGAAATCATGTGATGAGATATCTCCTTCTTAACGATGCTGCTTAAATCCTAACATCTTCTATTTTAAAATCAGACATGGTAATTTGGTCCATGCAAGTTTGTTTTTCATCAAAATAAAATAATAAAACTATGTTTAGAAGCATGGGAAACGATAACCATATTTGATTCATTATATATTGATCATTGTAAGTACCTCTCCTGGGGATAATGATATACAGGCCTACGGTAGATAGATAAATGTATAACATACATGGTGGGCCAAAAAAACCATTACCCAACTTTAAATCAGAATGAAAATAGCTATGTTCAATATGATACATTGATTTATATATCATTTTAAAGGTTATCCATTTTCGAACAATCTGGTGTAGAACACTATGTCATGAAAGCAATATTAAAGTTTTATTATGCTTATTTGGGAGGCATGTGTAACAGATATACGTGTCCCCAGTGGCCAGTGTCCGTGGGACAGTTAACCCTGGGGATGCTTGTCCGTCGGACAGTTAACTCCAAGTTTTAAGTGTCCCCCTTGAAGTTTTGAATGTCCCGTTGGGGACACTAAAAACCAGCATCATTCGAAAGCTAGTTTTTAGTGCCCCCCCCCCCTTTATTTATGTATCAACTAATAATGCGTTTTATCACTAATAAATCATCGAGCACTACTCTGTTACGTTAAATATAGACCAAATATAACACAATTCACAAAATGTAAGTATATTATTGCTTTTATTTGCATAGACATCAAGCGAGCCTACATTTATCTTAATGACTCTGCATCACTGTCCTCTACTACTAATGAATATAGGTCACATTTCATCGCGTATATACTCCTGAATACAAGAGTCGTTCGAATAGTTTTGATGATCTTAAAAAATGTTTGGTCAAAAATGCGAAATTTGACCTTTTTCAGTTTTTGAGGTCTAATATCTCAAAACTGGCGCACAATTTTAATGGATAGTTAATTGCTTATATATGGTGTATTTATTGCATTGTAGTATAGCCGGAAGGGGAAACATTAGAGACTTCGCGGTGTATGTTAAAGTAGTGTGCATTTGAAATATTATAGTAAAAAGTAGTAGCAACAAAAATATGTATGAGTGTGCAATGACGTCTGTCAGGCATCTGGCTGCATTGCTCCGCCGTGAGTATCCCACAGGTCCAGGCATAGAACATCTCGGCGCCGTGTGACATCCTGGGCCTCATCCTATGAGAGGTCAAGTGTGGACAACATGACCGTCAGCCGTCTCAAAGTGGTGCATTGTGGTTATCATATTTAAGTATTTTACCATAAATGTGTTGTAAAATAATTAATGACGGGACCGTGGGGATATACCGCTGTGTATTTTAATAAAAGGTACGATATAAGTATAATGTGTGTATTGTAAACCACTTACACGGCGATGTGTAATAATGGGTTTATAAGTTGTATGCCACGCATAGCTGGATGCGTGGAATAATATAAAGGGGATATAAAAGTACAAGGAAAAATGTGAACTAATTTACAGGGAAGCTAGCTTGGAAGGACTGAAACTTGCACTTCATTAGAACAGGGATATATTGATCCCGTAAAAACATTCACAGTAGTGGTACAAAAGAGATTGCAATAAATGTAGATGTCACCGTAACTGCATAACATACCACATAAGGGCTGGAATAGGCCAGCCGGGTAATCACATGCAGTCAAGGTAATAGAATGAAATAAAGTAACTGGTGCGTTTTATTCAACCACTGTGTAATTTACACCAAATAGAAATATATGAGTAAGCTACTGCGATGCATTTATACACCGTGAATTTAGCATGTTTGTTGCGTTGTGGTTGTGCACCGTGTAATACAAAGTAATTTTGGTAGGTACCACCAAAGTGAAGTTTAAGATAAGTAATATGTTTTAATAGTATAAGTATATGTGAAATTGGAACACCATTCGCACATATTGGTGCGGTATGATAAGAGAATGGTAAAAGATTTAGCAGGATCCAAGAAAGGATGGGGGGGGGGGGGGGTGACACACTCAGAATCACACAACAGGCAATAGTGTGCCCGACATAGAGTGTGATTCTTTTATTACAATAGAAGAACAATTCCTTCTAAGGGATTGTATGAGGGTAGCTTGACTACATCCAGAGTTTGCATTCCGAGAATACGGCCCGCCATTCCATGCAATTTTATGTTCACAATCTGTCTCCTCCAATTCACAAGATAAACTAGCTAAATACAATTATATACATTGTTTATTTACATGTTCTATCCCTACCCCCAGTTAGCCTACATAATTGAATAAGTTTACATTCTATTTGATATGTAAATTCCCCGAAATATGAGAAAAATATCAGCAGCTCATAAAAGCGCCCTTACGTTCAAATTTCCCTCCCTTTCTCCAAGAGCTACAGGCCGCATGCGCAAAAGTGGGAATCACTAAAAGTTACAGGGGGCATGCGCGTGACGTCACTAATGGAATCTCCCAAGAAAGGTTTTTTTAAAAGTTTGCAAATATGTCAATTACAGCAGAATACTTCCGAAATACTCAACATTCCGCAAAATTATACATGCATATAGATTCACAAAGCTACAAAGTAGAGAAATACGCTAAAAATGGTGATTGAAGAGATCGCTAAGACTCGAAACGGCGACCGAATTATCGCCCTGAACATTTCAAGAAATATTTGAGAATTGAAGTTGAGTTAATGGTAAGTGAAAGATACGAGGCATAAACATATTTAGGTCTTCAATCGACTGCTATACCCTCAAATACCACATTATCCACCTCAAACACCAGGTCAGAAAGTTTCCGCCTGACCCGGTATGGTCCTTCCCACTTGTTTTGCAGCTTTGGGGATAGCCCTGGCCTGCGTACTGCGGAGTGCAACCATACTGGGTCGCCAACATGGTACTTGTTGTAAACAATCTTGTTGTCGTAATTGCGCTTCTGTTGGCTGGCAGATTTCTGGAGGTTGTGCCGGGCTACTTCTTCCACCATCCAGAGGGCATCCCTAGCCTCAGACACGTATGACTGGTACACAACTGGGTCGTGACCTTTTGGTGCAGGACCTAGAAGAAGGTCAATGGGTAGTCGCATTTCCCGGCCAAGCATTAGCCTAGCAGGGGAAAATCCGGTACTTCGATGGATGGAAGAGCGGTACGAGAATAAAACCCATGGAAGTTTTTCATCCCAATCCCTCTGGTGCAATGAAATCACCTTCCGTAGCATCAGCTGGAGGGTGCGATTCATTCTCTCGAGGCACCCATTGCTCTGGGGGTGCATTGCAGTAGTTCGGGTTTTATCAATATCCATTAGACTACACAGCCCTTGGAAAAGATCGGCTTCAAATTGACGGCCTTGATCCGTGTGAAGTTGCAGGGGCACACCAAACCGAGTGATGTAAGATCGGACAAGGGCCTCAGCTACGGTCTCGGCAGTAATATCGGGCATCGGTACCGCTTCGGGCCACTTGGTGAAAGCATCTTCAAGCACTAGGATGTACTTGTTCTCCTGGTATGTGGGAATTAGGGGCCCAAGGATATCCACAAAGAGTCGTTCGCCAGGGGCTCCGGCAGGGAAGGACTTCAGAGGGGCTTTTGGAGTCCGATTAGGATTGCTGGCCGCTTGACACCTGGTGCACTGACCACACCAATTTTCAACATCTGCTCTGTAATTTGGCCAGTAATACCGGGAACGCACTCTCTCGATCGTGCGAGTTATGCCCATGTGTCCCATTGCACCATGTAGTGCATCAAATGCTGTGCGTTGAAGTTTCTTTGGCAGTACAGATTGTATCAGGGGTTCATCAATTGAAGTTTTAGCCTTTCTACTGAGAATTTCCTTCTCTATCAACAGAGCATCAAACTGCCCCCAAAATTGTTTGTGTAATGGACTACAAGGTGTAATCTCTTCTCGTGAAGGTCGAGTGCTAGTTTCTACCCAAGAAATCACATCTGCAAGCACGGGGTCTGCACGTTGACAATCTTTCAAATCAGAAACTGGTATAAGCCAGTTTTTCTCTGCAGAGCGGGTAGTCACTGCTCGAACGGAAAGATCTCGGTCCTCACGTCGTTCACACTTGCCACAAGGGCCACATGGAATCCGGGACAGGCCATCTGCATTTCCATGTTTGACGCCAGGTCTATGCTCGATAGTGTAGTCATACGTTCCCAAAATCTCGAGCCATCGGGCCATTTGACCTTCAGGAGATTTAAAGTTGATCAACCAACGAAGACTACTATGATCGGTGCGGATCTTGAAGTTTACCCCATAGATGTAATGGTGAAAATTCTTCAAAGCTAAGATAATTGCGAGAAGCTCACGGCGTGTGACGCAATAGTTGGTCTCAGGTCGACTGAAGGTATGGCTGTAGTAAGCAACAGGCCTCTCATCCCCATCAAGGACTTGAGACAGCACCGCACCGGCACCAAAAGCACTTGCGTCAGTGTCAACAATGAATGGCACTCCTATCACAGGATACGCTAACACTGGAGCGGTGACGAGAGCTTCCTTCAGGTCGTTAAAAGCAGACTGGCATCCAGGAGACCAGACAAAGGTGGTATCTTTCTCTGTCAGTCGCACCAATGCTTTGGCTCTATGGGAGAAATTCCTCACGAACCGGCGATAGTAGGCACATGTTCCAAGGAAACTTCTAACCGCTTTAACACCACAGGGCACAGGCCATTCTTTAACAGCTTTAACCTTATCAGGGTTAGGCCGGATGCCATCGGCAGATACTTGATGTCCAAGGAATGATACTTCTTCAGCCAGAAAATTGCATTTCTTCGGAGCAATTTTCATTCCGGAATGATGAATCCGCGACAAAACTTCTTCGAGGCGGGTAAGATGTTCGTCAAAAGTTTTGGAGTATACAATGACGTCATCGATGTAAACTAGGCAGGTCTCCCAATGGAGGCCCCGAAGCACTTTCTCCATCAGACGCTCGAAGGTGGCAGGGGCATTACAAAGCCCAAAGGGCATTACAGTGAACTGATACAGCCCGTTACCAGCAGAAAATGCAGTCTTCTCAGCATCGGTTGGGTCCATCGGTATTTGCCAATATCCACTCGCCATATCGAGAGAGCTGAAGTATCGACTGCCAGAGAGAGCATCCAGGGAGTCGTCTATTCGTGGTAACGGATAGCTATCCTTCTTGGACAGATCATTGACCAATCGGAAATCTATACAGAATCGTACAGTACCATCTTTTTTCTTGCACAGGACTACTGGAGATGACCAAGGACTAGTAGATGGTTCTATTATCCCATTCTTCAGCATACGGTCCACTTCAGCGTAGGCGACCTCCCGTTTGTGTAGCGGTAATCTTCGGGGTGGCACTTTCACGGGTCGACTGTTTCCGGTATCAATGGAGTGTGTTACCAGATCGGTCTTACCCAAATCAGCCTTGTCTTTAGCAAAAACATGACAATATTTCATCAAAAGGTTATGTAATTTCACTTTCTGCTCTTTGTTACAGTGGATAGAACTGCGATCATACAAGTCTTGAAGATGGGCAGGCAAATTACCCTCGATGTTTACAGCTCGGATGCCACAATCTGCCGATTCATCTGGAGATACACATTCTTCCAGGCATTCAACAGGTTCACAAATGGCAATTGTAGACTCTGTCATGACTTTCAGTGGCTGACTGGTTATGTTCGCTACTCTGACTGGGACCAGGGTCGAGTGTAAATCAATGACACTCCGTGCCACCAGAAACTCTCGATCAAGATGAGATGGAGGCTCTAAGACACCAAAGCTGCCGGAAATATCACCATAGCAACACAAGCGACCCTCGAGGATGGTCTCTGTCATGGGAGGTATCACGGTGGAACCAACAGCACACACCTTCATGCCTCCATTTGTCTCACTCTCGAGAATGCAATCGAGGCTGATTCCATCAATAAACAGTTTTCCGGGACCAAAGTCAAGTAAACAAGAATGATGTGACAGGAAATCATAGCCCAATATCACGGGAGACTCAATGTCAGCTACGATCAACGGGACTTGCACACAGCGTTCATCGGACAACATCATGGAAAATTCAGCAGTGCCAACAGTGCGGATAACACCATTGTTTGCCGATCTGAGACATTGTGGGCTCATTTTTAAGATAGGCCTCAGAGGGGACTTGAGAGTCTTGTAGGTATCATGGCTCATAATACTGGCCTTAGCACCGGAATCAATCAAGCATGGGACTGTCTCGCCACATATAATGACGGGCAAACATAATCCATCGTATTTAGAACTCTTGGGTTTACATGTATTTACATTGTTAATGATATTGCTCTTGGTGTTGACTCCCTCTGGATGGAGGAGCGCCTCATGGCCTATTGAGACACTCCGTTCTGGTTTAAAGAAACTTTACTGGAACTGGGCCATAGATGTTCAGGTCGCTTCCCTCGATGATCAGCACTTATGCGACCTTTCTCCACATCATCCTTCTTGATGCGGCATCGGGCGACCTGGTGAAACTGAATGTTGCAGTAGAAACATCGTTTATCTGAAGCAGGTTTTCGATCAAGGAACTGAGTAAGTCTCACAGCTAGGTCCTTGAATGCAGATGGTGTCAATTGATCAGGCTCGGATGACTGAGCAGTATCACTGGTAGCGGCAATAGTCGCACGGATAGGCACGACTGTATCTTCAGCATAGCCTTCCATCTGTAAGGCTGAATCTATGGCTTCTCTCATGGTGGTTGGAGCTTTAGAAAATATATGATAGCTCATTTGGCTATCAGTAGTTTTTAAAGCATGTTTGAAAGCATCAAGAGCTAGTTGGTCACGAGAGGCCTCTGGCAAATGACCATACCCTAAATTTGCAAGACGTAAAATGTCATAGCCGAGAGAGTTAACACTCTCGCCCTTCTTTTTCAGCCTTTTTCTCAACTGGTTGCGATATTTCTCTTCTTGGTGATTGGGATTATACAAGTCATTTAGGCAACTAGACACATAATGGTAGTCTAGCTTGCGCGACGGTTCGATAATTTCATAAACCTTTTGGGCGTCCCCTTCAAGGCATGTTAGAAGTTCGACCGCACGCCGTTGGTCATCCCAACCGTTGATATCGGCAATGGTATCAAATGAAAACTTAAATGTTCGCCAACTGGAGGTACCGTTATATGGACGGACCTTGTGTTCTTTGCGGGATAGGGGTTGCATAGCGGAAACAGGCAAAAGTGGTGTCTGTTGTACAAGTGGAATTTCATTGGGATGACTTCTATGCAACCCAGGGTTGGACATCACATGTGGGCCAGCTGGATCCCGAATAGTGGCAGGATTGGAATTTCTTTGGTATTCCTGGCTGGTATTCCTATTTACAGCTGCAGCAAAAGTATTAGTAACAGTATTTACAGGTCTGGTATTTACACAGGTTACAAAATTCAGCAAACTCCTCGGAGTACTGACAACTAGCGGAGCATGTGCGGACATAATGGGACCAACAGCTCCGACAGTACTATATACACTTGGCATGCTTGGAACTGGTGGAGAACTGACCTCACCACCATGGACATGTTGGTCCAGTGGCAAACTCGAACTTCTATTGGAAGTTTCTGATGGCTTGGAAGATACACCTGGAGTGTTATTAGCAGATACATTCCTGCTTAGTAATTTGTTCTCTTCGGCTAAAAGTTCTGCTTTCCATTGTTGTATATCATCTAATCGTTGAGCCACCTCTTCATCTGTGATAGTACAGCCATTATCGTCCCCATGTTCCCCGACAGTGACATGTTGGTCACCGTCAGCCACTTCCTCGATTTCAACTGAATCTGCATCGCTGTTGGTAGGCTTCTGCATCGTCATTGAAATTTCGCTATCTACCCGGATCACCTTTGCCTCATCAGCCATCTATAAAGAAAAAGGGAAGATGACTCTTGGCCATGACGACAGAAAAGCGCACTGGTTTTGGATCCCACCACTGCCACCATTGTAGTATAGCCGGAAGGGGAAACATTAGAGACTTCGCGGTGTATGTTAAAGTAGTGTGCATTTGAAATATTATAGTAAAAAGTAGTAGCAACAAAAATATGTATGAGTGTGCAATGACGTCTGTCAGGCATCTGGCTGCATTGCTCCGCCGTGAGTATCCCACAGGTCCAGGCATAGAACATCTCGGCGCCGTGTGACATCCTGGGCCTCATCCTATGAGAGGTCAAGTGTGGACAACATGACCGTCAGCCGTCTCAAAGTGGTGCATTGTGGTTATCATATTTAAGTATTTTACCATAAATGTGTTGTAAAATAATTAATGACGGGACCGTGGGGATATACCGCTGTGTATTTTAATAAAAGGTACGATATAAGTATAATGTGTGTATTGTAAACCACTTACACGGCGATGTGTAATAATGGGTTTATAAGTTGTATGCCACGCATAGCTGGATGCGTGGAATAATATAAAGGGGATATAAAAGTACAAGGAAAAATGTGAACTAATTTACAGGGAAGCTAGCTTGGAAGGACTGAAACTTGCACTTCATTAGAACAGGGATATATTGATCCCGTAAAAACATTCACAGTAATGGTACAAAAGAGATTGCAATAAATGTAGATGTCACCGTAACTGCATAACATACCACATAAGGGCTGGAATAGGCCAGCCGGGTAATCACATGCAGTCAAGGTAATAGAATGAAATAAAGTAACTGGTGCGTTTTATTCAACCACTGTGTAATTTACACCAAATAGAAATATATGAGTAAGCTACTGCGATGCATTTATACACCGTGAATTTAGCATGTTTGTTGCGTTGTGGTTGTGCACCGTGTAATACAAAGTAATTTTGGTAGGTACCACCAAAGTGAAGTTTAAGATAAGTAATATGTTTTAATAGTATAAGTATATGTGAAATTGGAACACCATTCGCACATATTGGTGCGGTATGATAAGAGAATGGTAAAAGATTTAGCAGGATCCAAGAAAGGATGGGGGGGGGGGTGACACACTCAGAATCACACAACAGGCAATAGTGTGCCCGACATAGAGTGTGATTCTTTTATTACAATAGAAGAACAATTCCTTCTAAGGGATTGTATGAGGGTAGCTTGACTACATCCAGAGTTTGCATTCCGAGAATACGGCCCGCCATTCCATGCAATTTTATGTTCACAATCTGTCTCCTCCAATTCACAAGATAAACTAGCTAAATACAATTATATACATTGTTTATTTACATGTTCTATCCCTACCCCCAGTTAGCCTACATAATTGAATAAGTTTACATTCTATTTGATATGTAAATTCCCCGAAATATGAGAAAAATATCAGCAGCTCATAAAAGCGCCCTTACGTTCAAATTTCCCTCCCTTTCTCCAAGAGCTACAGGCCGCATGCGCAAAAGTGGGAATCACTAAAAGTTACAGGGGGCATGCGCGTGACGTCACTAATGGAATCTCCCAAGAAAGTTTTTTTTAAAAGTTTGCAAATATGTCAATTACAGCAGAATACTTCCGAAATACTCAACATTCCGCAAAATTATACATGCATATAGATTCACAAAGCTACAAAGTAGAGAAATACGCTAAAAATGGTGATTGAAGAGATCGCTAAGACTCGAAACGGCGACCGAATTATCGCCCTGAACATTTCAAGAAATATTTGAGAATTGAAGTTGAGTTAATGGTAAGTGAAAGATACGAGGCATAAACATATTTAGGTCTTCAATCGACTGCTATACCCTCAAATACCACAGCATCAATATTCTTAACATTAATATCTTCGGTTTTTACCCCACGGAGTAAGTTAAACCGAATATAAACAAAACCAGTTACTACAAATGGTACCTACTATCCCACATATAATTGACTGTCTTACACAACAAATATGTAAGATGCTTCAAGAGTGTATTCGACCCGATCAAATATAAATTTGATAGTATTTAAATATGTGCGATGCCAAGTACCATTCGTATTGGGTAAACATATTCATTTGTGCTGAACATATTCATTTGTGGGGTAAGTCACGTGACTTACCGAATGATTTTATATAAACCATTGTTCACTGTTTTGATGTGGGGTAAGTCACGTGACTTCGACCATGTGACTTGCGCCATCTATATATTCAAAGAGCTCTGGTGTGATTCTCCAATCGCGAAAACGTATCTTCTATTAAGAAAGGATCGCTTATGTAGCCTCATGCCTGTTGTAATGATCTAATAACTTCTCAATTTCTTCTCTGAATTGTGAATATGAATCGTATTCAAATTCTTTTTCCTCGCTTGTTTCATCCATTTTGAAATTTCTACGTCACTGGTCACGTGATTTACCGAATGGTTTTATGCTACATGCAGCATGTGTCATTTATGTGGGGTAAGTCACGTGACTTATCCCACATAATTTTATGCGAAACATGTCATTAATTATATGGGGTAAGTCACTATATGTCCGTGCTATTTTGTACTCTATGATTGTTCGGTAAATGAACATTGTTTGGTTCTAAAGTGTATTTGTATTTGATGCGTGTTCTAAATATATGTGTCAACTGTCTTTGTTCGTGTGTGTACATGGACTTAAATATGTGATATTTTACCAAACACTGAGTAACATAAACCGCATATACAAGTGCATTTACCGCATATATAGGTACATAAATCAAATATAAATGTGTAAAAACAAACAAATTTATTACGTGTTTCGAATCATTTTAATAGAGTGGAATATCGAATGGTTGTAATCAAATACAAAAGTGTGAAAATTGAATAAAGATGCAGAAAAAATTCCATACTTATATGTGTAGAACCTTTAGTGGAATATATATTCTGACTTTCATCAAAAAATATTGATTTGTAATCATCAACTATGAGAAACACAGATTGTGATTTAGTTTGATGACCTTGACATTTGACCTTGCAAAGAAGTGGTATCGATATGATGAACTTTTTGAACACGCGTTTCTCTTAAACCAGTCATCAAAACATTCTGAAAATTTTACACATCGTCAATTTAATGGTCATCTTTTGGATGGTAACATTATAATTAGAATTATATATATAGACTTTTCTCTATATTGTTTTAGAAAACACATCAGACACTTCTTTCGGTCTTGGTATCATATGTTCGGAATGAAATAAAATATCTATCCGAACCTCATTGGAACAAAACGACATAAACGCAACGTGTTTAGGTCTCTCAATATTGCAATTGTACAAAGGAAAGTTTTGTTGATTTTAAATAAGTATCTTGTAAATGATATGAAAGGTTTATCTTAATTTTTATCTATTTTTGGGGTTTTGTTTTAAGTTTTTGGATACTTTTTGTTAAATCAATCAAAATTTTCTTTGTATAACTATACTATTGAGAGGTCTAAGAAAATGTTGTATATGCTATTTTGTTCCAACAAGGTTCGGAAAGACATTTTATTTCATTCTCAAGAATTGGTAAAAAGGAACAAAAAACAATTACATCAAAAAACAAAAAATGTTAACAAATACAGTTATATAAAATGTATATACATTATTTTTGCATTTAATTGCATTGTTGCCAATCAGTCAACATTACATAAAGGACCGTGTTTTTTACAGAATGTTTTCTATAAATGGTTTAAGAGAAAAACATTGTTGAATTCAGTTCACCATAATGATACTTATCCTTTGACTTTCTTAGACACCAGTGGGTCTTTTTGTGATTAAATAAACTTAAATTTGAACCCAGAAGGTCAAAAGAAAGGTCAAATTTGAGGTCCCGGGGACTTGTAGATGATTTTTAAAAATAAATTGGTCAATTTGAAGCAATATGACCAATTTGTTGACGTCAATTATCTCAAAAAACTGTGAAAATTTAACGCAAACATATAGTGAGCAATTTGTAGGGAATGCTTATCTAGTTACATTTTAATTCATCGCAAGAAATAATGAAATATGAAGACGAAATCTGCGAAACTAAAAAAACTCTAATTTGACCTAGATTTGGCCTAGATTTGGCCTTTGACCTTGACCTAGATAAAAATGCCTTTCCTGCCAAGTGCAGCTCAGGTCCTTAGTAGAAGCATATAAGAGTTATCTCAGACCTAGCTAGAAGTAGGAAAAAGTGGTTAAGAGGAATAAATAAAAAATAAATTAAGAATATCTATAAAAACTTATATATAATAAGGTGGTATCCTGAAAAAATGGACAACAATAATAATAGGCTACAATATAGAATACTACAATCTATTGAGGCAATATAACAAACAATACAATATAAACGGTGTAGTCGGTTAATATATTTACACATGATATACCAAAGCAGGATTCTAACCTGGAACCTAATAAATACAAACCACAATTAATAAATACACATTATGCCAACGCTTATACCATTACACCACAGTGGGAGAGATGCCCATATCCGATTTTGACTACACTATAACTTTGATCCTAGTAACTACAATTATTAAATCCTATCAATGGGGGACATTCCAATCTGTTACTGGTGTGACAGATCTGAGAGTCTCCCCAGTTATAACCGTCTCCCCATTTTATCCTTGTAAACATAGGAAATAAAACCTGGTTTTCAATGTCCTCCAATGGACAGCCAACCCTAGGGATCAGGGTCCGTAGTACTCAAAATAAAACCTGGTTTTCAATGTCCTCCAATGGACAGCCAACCCTAGGGATCGGGGTCCTACGGACCTACGGACCCCGATCCCTAGGGTTGGCTGTCCAACGGACACTGACCACCGGGGGACACTTAAATCTGTTACACCGGGTTGGTATTTAAGGTATCCGGATTTTAGGGAGAAAATAGTAAATCTGCGGAATGATGTTAATTTTTTATTTATAGAATATCATTTTGTTAGGTGAATACATGCTTGTACATTTGCGTAGTGTGTGACTAAACTTATTGTTTATGAATTTCAGTTTTGTTTATTAT